CAACACTCTAGTCAGGCCAAGCGCTACTCAGACCTGCTTAATGCTTCCAAGGCGAATGTTCAACGGCTTGAAGGTACATCACAAACAACAACCACAACAACAACTACAACAACAACAATAAAAATATAAATATTTAATTAACATCAGATAAGGTTTGAAAGGGTTCCCCTTGCTGTTCCAAGGGTTGTCCAGGGTCGAACCAGCTCGAACCCAAGGATTGAGACCGCTGAAAAATGAATTCTCTGCGTAACCTTGACTATCCCCTGCAGAACCTTAGCAGCAACCAACTCACACACCCACACACTCGCGCACAAAGAAGAAGAAGAACCAGACCAATCTAAGCCAACTAATAACTAACTAAATAACTAACAATAGTATACATTACTACTTACTTACTTACTACTTACTTAAGCAATAGCTAAAACTAAAGAGAGTGCGTGTGTTTGTGTGTGATATAGATTGATAGATAGAGATGGAGAAGAAGACGACAGACTTGAAGACAATGTCTATTGATGAGCTGGAGAAGTTGTTGATTAGCAAGCAAGCTTTATATACATCATTGGCAAACAATCTAGCAGACAAAGGTGCAAAGATATTGAATAATATAGATCAAATCAAACAACAACTAGAGTTAAAGAGATCATCACAAGTAATACATAGTAGTAATAATAATAATATTAATAATAATGATGTTGTAGATAATAATAATAATAGTATAAGCAATAGTAGGAGTAACAGTAACAGTGATCTAAACCTGATCACAAGTACAGATAATATCAATAATAATAATAATATTGGATTGGATATTGGAATGACTGATGATGAAAGGATAATCAACAAGATGAGTGGATTGGCAATTGGTGGCAATAACAACAACAATACTACATTCAAACGTCCAAGTTCATTACGTTCAAGTGAAAGGGATGTAAGCAAGCAACTGCCTCCTCAACGACAAGTCATCCAGCTGTCACTGGAGGAATCATTACATCTCTCCAACATGAACAAAGAGAAGTCATTGGTAGGTGGTCATAAACGCAACGACGATGACGATGACGAAGATGATGATGATGTCGTTAAAGATGATGGATCAATTCTAATTAATGAACATCAACAACTACCAACTACAACATAACATAAAATAGACACAACAGTTTGATGATATGGAGATGAGTTCTCCATCGGTCACTGGTGTGTCCGACGTGTTGATCAAAGAGAGAGATATACCAGAGGACACGTTTAGCAACAGCAGCACGAGCGAGCAATGCGACCTGGACAACGACACACACGACATCTACGACACGGCCTACGCCTACAAGCTGCACGATGAGTGGGGACAGTTTGTCGACGATGAAGAGTCATCCGTACCCAATCCCAAGTACATGTAATAAAGCCATAACATTACCTCAACCATCCATTCATTCATGTGACAGTTTGGACACAAGTGTATCTACTTGAGAAGCATCTTCAATGATGGAGTTTAATACAGCAGATGCCATTGGTTGTTTGTTTGATTGATTGTTATATGTAGTTGCTGTTGTTGTTGGTTGTGTTGGATGAAGAGGAGGATGAGGAGATGGAAGGAGGAGGTAACAAGATGATGATGATTACTTCCACAACTTGCTCAAACTTGTGTTGGCCTCTGAGTCCTTCTTCATGACCTTGGAGACTGCCATTTCGAAATCCTCTTGACTGACATGGATTCTACGCTCTCTCAAGGCATACATGCCTGCCTCTGTACAGACGGCCTTGAGCTCAGCACCAGATGCACCATTCAACTTCTCTGCAATCTTCTTCAAGTTGATACCTCTCGACAAGTTCATCTTCCTCGAGTGAATCTTCAAGATGTCCAGACGACCCTATTGATTGATCAATCGTTAGGTTAGTTCGATTGATTGATCAAATGGTTAGGTATATACATACGGCATCTGTTGGATTGGGGAACTCTATCTTTCTATCGATTCTACCTGGTCGGAGCAAGGCTGGATCAAGGATATCAATACGATTGGTGCACATCAACACCTTAATATTCTTGGTGCTCTCGAAACCATCAAGTTGGTTCAATAGCTCTAACATTGTACGTTGTACCTCACTGTCGCTGCTTCCCGATCCACTGTCAATTCTAGACGATCCAATCGAATCGATCTCATCCATGAATATAATTGATGGTGCATGTTCTCTGAATAATTGATTGATTGAATGTTAGTTGTTTGATTGATCATCATCATCATCATCACCATCACATCACACTTCTTACCTTGCCATGATAAAGAGCTCTCTAACCATGCGAGAACCTTCACCAATGTATTTCTGTACCAACTCGGAACCAGACACTCTGATGAATGTACAGTCGGTGTGATGAGCGACGGCACGAGCCAACAATGTCTTGCCAGTGCCTGGTGGACCGTAGAGCAGGACACCCTTGGGCTGAGCAATACCAAGTGACTCAAAGAGCTCTGGATGCTTGATGGGCAACTCGATCACCTCCTTGATCTCCTTGATCTGCTTGTCAAGACCTCCAATCATATCGTACGTCGAGTCTGGGATCTTCTCGACCTTCATCAGCGACACCAGTGGATCGATCTTGTTGGGCAGGATCCTGTGCAGCGTGTAGGACTCATGCTTGAGGGCGGCACGTGTCGACGGGGTCAACTTGGCAATGTCGATCGATGGGTCAATGTCGACGACGAACTTGCCCTCGGGGTTGACCTTTACGAGCACCTTGTTCTTGCCCATCAACTTTACAACCTCGGCCACATGCGAGCCCTGGTTGGTCAGCAGTTGCAACTCCTCCTTTAGCATTCTGACCTTGTTGTTCAACTCATTTCTCTGAGCCTCCAGTCTTCTCAAGTCCTGTGACTTCTCATTGACCTTTATCTCCAAGTCCTCAATCTTTGAGCAATAGTATGATTTAATTCCTTTAGTCTCCTCTATCGCCATCTTTGTTTTTATTACTATATCTATTGTGTTATATATTATATTATAAAGATATATATAAAGAATATATATATATATATATATATGTATGTGTGATTGTTTGAATGAATGTAAATTAAAATATTGAAGTTGATGTGTGATCTTCACTCACCTCAATCAACTTCAACTTTCTTCAAAACCTTGTGTTTCATTTAATTTTGCAAATGAGTTGGTAACGTAACACTTCCAAACAACTTAAGAATTATATTAGTAATAATAATAATGATATTAAATTATTAATATATAGATTATTCTCTAATATATATAAATATTTCCAATTTATAATACTTCTCCTATCCAATCCAGTCCAATCGAAGTCATGACTTTTTTTCTTGCAAGTTCAAGAGGGATGTCAAGTGCAAGGATTTGGAAGTATTGGTTCACTTTCCATCATATTGATTAGTGATTATTGGACAGATGTTAATATTTAGTTGTGCCTGATGAATCCAAGAATCTATATGAATTGGAATGTTGTTGAGCTTGATCAATCCTAAAATGATGATGTTTGAGTTTGAAACAACTTGTCAAACACACAGGGTTGTACGAWSTTTTTTTTTTTTTTTTTTTGACTAGAGTGGAAGTTTATTATTATTGCAAATAAATTGGCGTCATTGAAGAGGCGGGATAATATATATAAGTTAGTCGATKTTGAATTTTSTTGWTTTTTTTCTTTCTTTTCTTTTCTACTGTAGGCCTCTGAATTC